GAAAAAGAACTTTTGTTTCTAAGAATTCAACTGTGAAATGAAAATACAACGAACAATGAATCTTACTCCGTTCACGGGTGGAAACGTTTATAGCAACGCGATAACCGTTTAGATCTTTCACCCTTTCTTCTTCAAAACAAAGCAGATTCGACCCAGATACATATAAACGTTCGGCCTAAAGGCTTAAAAAAATACGCAGCTTTTTATGTTTACTGCACGTGCAAGCCACGCGTCTTGCGGAGATTCTATTAAGAGCTTTTGTCGCCTGACACTTCATGTTCCAATTTCTTAGGGAATTTCAAAAGTGCCAGAAACTCTCTGGCGATGTATGATACTCCATTTTTGAATTCAAAGCTTCTTTTTATTTGTCGACAGATGCTCTTGCTCAATGTCATTGCCAAGCATAGAAGAGGGCACGAGAAAATGTTGTTATTACAATTTCATCGAAAATTTGCATGTTTTCCAAAACTCTACATTCCCATAATTTTCTCATGCTTTCTTTTGTATTCGGTAGAGTCTTAACTTTGTGCAAAAGTATCTGTTTACAAATAAACCAGTCGTCTATTAGCTTTGAATTTTCTAGTGCTTTCTTTTTCTTTCGGTATAGTTTGCAGAGGGAAATGGTTTGGAAGAGTTTTGTTTTAGGTTTTTGTGCACTTTTTTCCAAGCGTGACTGTGCACAATCTTTTGTGGAACTATTGTTTTAGCCATACTGGTCACATCTGAATGAACAAAGCAAAAATTATTCTTTTGACTATATATTTCTTCAAAAATCTTAACAAATATTGAAATATTTCATTTCATAATCTCATAGAGAGTGTTTGTGTTCAATCAATTTGTAATTTCCATCTTACGTAAGAAAAAAAGTTGTGAACGTTCTTGACCGATTCAGCCTCAAAATGCGTACAAAAGATGTACAAAAAAAGTACAACAAAAGGTTTCCAAACCCTTCCCCTCTATTAATTATGCTTTCGGTAATTTCTTTGCGCAAGAGTATCTGGTGTCAAATAAAACAGCGATTATTCTCTTTAAAAATTGAGTATTTGTACGCCTTAATTTCGGATAAATTAATTGTGATCAATTGTCGTATTCTTCGTTTTCACTACACGTCACAACCGCCATCTTGGAGGAACTGCAACAAAGGTTTTGTCATTAGCATCTATTGTTCATTCCTCCTACATGGCTGCCGGTCTTTTATTTATGGAATCTCATGGAATGGTTGAAACGATTAATATAAAAGAGTGCACAAGTGGACATGAGCAAGATGTTGTTTTTGTTGTTGTTTTTTCTTTTTTTTTTTCTTTTTTTTTTTATTAAAAAAAAAGATGTTGTTGTTGTTGTTGTTGTTTTCAATAAGGTTGATCGGGTGGTGCAGGAAATTCCTTGACGTCTCCTTACTTAAACTCGACAATTACCCTAGTTCATTATGACGTCACAACAAAACATTTTATTGTTTTAACGCTAAGGATTATGGTCGCCAGAAGGGATCAGAGTGACTGCATTTAAATAAAATGTACATGAACAATCATTGCTACATGATATATATGAAAACACGATTCATTGTAGTTCTACTTTAGTAGAATATATTGATGGGTCCAAATTTCCACTGTTTTTTTTCTGAATGGACTTTCTCTTTGTTCATATTGTTGTGTAACCTTCGTTAGCATCGCTGTACTCCTGGTTCTCATCGTCAAATGCGACGTTAGTATTATGTCTTAAGAATGTGACTTTGTTTCCAACCTTCAAAAACCTGAAAAAAATATTGAAAATCGGGTCGGATTCAGTGAAGAATATGAATACTGAAGTGGTGAGGAGTTCTCTATCGTCTCTCTCGCCCTTGGGCTGGACATTTCTTCCAGAAATAACGATTGTTCGGGAAATTTCGTGATCGCTCGAGAKTAGCCAGCGAAAGAGTCTATCAACTTTCAGTTTTGTGGTTATACATTTCAATCCCTATCCGCTTCTGGATTCACAACATTACCTTTTGCAGTAACCACAAGTTAACATRCACATCTCTCTACCAAGTTGACCATCGCAAAGTCCGGATAGGGATAACGAAGGACAGTCAAACCGAAGATCTTGACACTGACCTAGTCATTAATAAGAAATTGATTACGGTCTTTGAAAAAAAAAAGACTTAGAAATGATTTAAATAGTTTAAAAACAGTAACTTTTTTTTTTCTTTTTTAGTGTAGTATAACAAGCTTCACCTGTATTAATGGTCATGCCAATAAAGCTTGTTAAAAACAGTAACTTATATATCAGTCAATTGAAACCGCAGCCCCCATAACGGAGATTTGCATTTAACATTCCCCGGGCCTTAGAGTCAAAATGAGTTCAATATTTAATGAAATGCGCTTTAAAAGCATTCCTCGTTAAAACTAATTATCTAAGATAAAAATAAACAAACAAACAAAAAAATTCGATTGCTCAACGTTACCATCAAAAGTTTTCAGATGCAGGCAATGCAACACAGCGTATGCATTATTTTATTCCTTTGCATTTAACATTCCCCTGACCTTAGAGTCAAAATGAGTTCAATATTTAATGAAATGCGCTTTAAAAGTATTNGTAGTAAATAGTGGAAAGTGTTGCACACATTTAATGTTTGTACTCTATCTGTTGACAAATAAGCCAGTCGGCTATTAGCTTTGAATTTTCTAGTGCTTTCTTTTTCTTTCGGCATAGTTTGCAGAGGGAAATGGTTTGGAAGAGTTTTGTTTTAGGTTTTTGTGCACTTTTTTTTCCAAGCGTGACTGTGCACAATCTTTTGTTGAACTATTGTTTTAGCCATACTGGTCACATCTGAATGAACAAAGCGAAAATTATTCTTTTGACTATTTCTTCAAAAATCTTAACTAATATTGAAATATTTCATTTCATAATCTCATAGAGAGTGTTTATGTTCAATCAATTTGCAATTTCCATCGTACGTAAGAAACAAGTTTTGCACGTTCTTGACTGATTCAGCCTCAAAATGCGTACAAAAGATGTACAAAAAAAGTACAACAAAAGGTTTCCAAACGCCTTCCCCTCTATTAATCATGCTTTCTCTTATGCAAGAGTATATGGTGTCAAATAAAACAGCGATTATTCGCTTTAAGAATAGTGTATTTGCATGCCTTTATTTCGGATAAATTAATTGTGATCAATTGTCGTATTCTTCGTTTTCACTACACGTCACAGCGGCCATCTTGGGGGAACGACAATTGCCCTAGTTCGTTATGACGTCACAACAAAACATTTTATTGTTTTAACGCTACGGATAATGGTCGCCAGAAGGGATCGGCAGAGTGACTGCATTTAAATAAAATGTACATGAACAATCATTGCTACATGATATATATGAAAACACGATTCATTGAAGTTCTACTTTAGTAGAATATATTGAGGGTCCAAATTTCCACTGTTTTTGAGCATCGCGTTCCGATGTAAATTTATATTCTGAATGGACTTTCTCTTTGTTCATATTGTTGTGTAACCTTCGTTGGCATCGCTGTACTCCTGGTTCTCATCGTCAAATGCGACGTTAGTATTATGTCTTAAGAATGTGACTTTGTTTCCAACCTTCAAAAACCTGAAAAAAATATTGAAAATCGGGTCGGATTCAGCAGTGAAGAATATGAATACTGAAGTGGTGAGGAGTTCTCTATCGTCTCTCTTACCGTCGGCATCGACATTTCTTCCGGAAATAACGATTGTTCGGGAAATTTCGTGATCGCTCGAGATTAGCCAGCGAAAGAGTCTATCAACTTTCAGTTTTGTGGTTATACATTTCAATCCCTATCCRCTTCTGGATTCACAACATTACCTTTTGCAGTAACCACAAGTTAACATGCACATCTCTCTACCAAGTTGACCATCGCAAAGTCCGGATAGGGATAACGAAGGACAGTCAAACCGAAGATCTTGACACTGACCTAGTCATTAATAAGAAATTGATTACRGTCTTTGAAAAAAAAAGACTTAGAAATGATTTAAATAGTTTAAAAACAGTAACTTTTTTTTTTCTTTTTTAGTGTAGTATAACAAGCTTCACCTGTATTAATGGTCATGCCAATAAAGCTTGTTAAAAACAGTAACTTATATATCAGTCAATTGAAACCGCAGCCCCCATAACGGAGATTTGCATTTAACATTCCCCGGGCCTTAGAGTCAAAATGAGTTCAATATTTAATGAAATGCGCTTTAAAAGCATTCCTCGTTAAAACTAATTATCTAAGATAAAAATAAACAAACAAACAAAAAAATTCGATTGCTCAACGTTACCATCAAAAGTTTTCAGATGCAGGCAATGCAACACAGCGTATGCATTATTTTATTCCTTTGCATTTAACATTCCCCTGACCTTAGAGTCAAAATGAGTTCAATATTTAATGAAATGCGCTTTAAAAGTATTCGTCGTTAAATCTAATTATCTAAGATAAAAATAAATAAACAAACAAAAAAATTCGATTGCTCAACGTTACCATCAAAAGTTTCAGTTTACGCTCACCTATTAAAGGGCTATCCTCTGTCATTGTTGCACCTGGGTCTGGTAATGGACCTTGATTAAATTTTTGTCCAAAATGAGCGCCTATTAGTGGTGGAGGGCGGCCTTCCAATGAAGGTCGAGGTAGTGGAATCGGAACCGGGACAGGAAAACCTGGAAAAGTTATCAATGGCACCACTTTTGGCTTTTGTAAAGGTTTTAGTGGCGATGTAGTTGGTACAGTTGATGGTGTGGCTGCTGGTGTAGGTAGAGTTGTACTGGACTCAGAATTACAACAGCCATGTGATTCATGAGTTGTTTCAGCACCATTGGTGTTTGGTTCACTGACCAATGATGGTTTAGAAACACTGTTCGTGCTACTACCATTGGATGAACTTCCTCCATTATTAGGCAGGCTCCCTCCCTGGTTTGGCTGATTYCCCCCGCCACCAGGTTTATTTCCTCCACTGATTGGCTGACTCCCTACTGTGTTAGGTTGGGTCCTTCCACTGTTTGGCTGGCTTCCACCGCTGCTAGCTTTGTTTTCACCACTACTTGGCTGTTGCCCTCCAAAGTTTGGTGTGGTGACAGGATTGCTATGCTGATTCCCCTCTGAATTAGGATTGCTACTACTGCTATTTGGTTGGCTTTGGGGATTATTTTGTTGACTTGTTTGTGAAGGATTTTGSATCGGTAATTGTACCATCATTGTAACTGGCAATACCATGCTACCTAAAATATGCCATATAGATACATGTAATTTTTTTTGAAAACGCTACTAAATCAAGAATTGGAGAGTTAATTGCCTTACCTCCACTATTTCCCTGGAAATTTCCAAAATTTTGTTGATTATTGTTATTCGTATTTCCATTTCCCCCAATGTTAGGTTGAATATTTCCGGTACTTCCAACTACATTAGCCTGGTTATTCCCTGAATTTCCTCCTGAGTTTGTTGGGGTATTTCCAGTACTTCCAAAGTTTTGCTGATTATTTGCTWGTCCTCCTGTGTTAGCCACGGGTTGATTATTTCCGCTATTTCCTCCAGTTGTTTGAGTGTTTGGAGAATTCCCTCCTGAACTTAGCTGATTGCCCCCTGTGTTTCCCATATACGAAGGCTGCATATTTCCAGGTATCCCTACTAAAGAAGGTTGGCTAATGCCATTACCACTTCCAGGTGAAACCTGGCTATTTCCAGAACTTCCAGTTGACAAAGGTTGACTATTGCCAACATAACCTCCAGATGAAGGCTGGTTATTTCCAGAACTTCCAGCTGATGAAGGTTGACTATTGCCAACATTACTTCCAGATGAAGGCTGGTTATTACCAGAATTTCCTGTGTAGGAAGGTTGGTYAACGCCAGAATTACCTCCAGAAGAAGGCTGGTTATTTCCAGGACTTCCAGCTGATGAAGGTTGACTATTGCCAACATTACTTCCAGATGAAGGCTGGTTATTGCCAGAATTTTCTGTAAAGGAAGGTTGGTTAACGCCAGCATTACTTCCCGTGGAAGGCTGGTAATTTCCGGAATTTCCAGAGAAAACAGGCTGGGCATTTCCAGTATTACCTCCAGAAGAAGGTTGATTATTTGAATTGCTAAGTGAAKACGAGGGTTGATAATTTCCAGTATTTCCRCTGCTTGTCGATTGAGCGTTTCCGGTCATGCCACTCATATTACTTTGGATGYTATTCCCTCCGGTATTTCCTTGGTTTTTAATAACGCCTACATTATTCACTTCATCTTGATAATTACCAAAATCGTGTAGATGTTTGATATCTACACTTTGATCGTTTACATTTTTGACACTTGACAAATTAATTGCTTCTAGAGAATGTTCAGGCGCTGATTCTTTACCCGAATGATCTTCCATAGCAGAAGAATTATTCATTTTATTCAAAACTGCGTTTTCTTTGTTTTGAAGKTCGACATCTTTGTTGTGAAAACTGTCACCACTTGGTARAGTTGATATTTCTTTGTTTTCATGTTGAATATTGTTTGATGCGTCGACATRATCGTAAAAAGGATTTTGGACAGGATCTTGAAATGATGCGCCATAATTTTGTTGATTGMCGCCATTTTCAAGAGCAGCTTGCCATGAATCCATACTTCCAAAATCCCATGCTGTAAAGATAATTKTTTTAGAGCAAGTATGAACATTGACCTAACCCTAACAAAATTGAATCATACAGAGATTCTTTCATAATTCATCAATTAAGTTATTATACATTTCATTCAAAACTTTTGAATAATAAGGGAATATATTATTAAAAGCAGAAAGATGTAGTYGACCCTTGGGTAATGATGAAAAAGAAATCGAAGAATTGGCCATGCTCTAAACGAGCAGGGGACTGGCACTAGCTGTAGTAAATAGCGATTTCCTCTCAATGAAAATAAAACATGCCTGAATATACCACATGGTACTATGYTAATATACCTTGCAGAATAAGAATCCAGTAGGAACCTCTTCAAAATTTGAAAATCAAAACGAATTTTACTTCTGTAGAGACAGCTGTCGATTCAGACATTTGAATATCAATAGCACTGTAGCCATTATTCATATTGTCATCAAATTTCTCTCATTATGATATCCATTTTAAAATAGGCCATTTGCATGATGGCGTAACTTTACTACAACTACCAGAAAGCCTTGCGCATTTGCTTTGTTATTCAGATTTTTAATCCCCTTAGCGATTAGTAAAACAATTGGCACTAATTGCATTACAAAAGAAAGTGGGCAAAGCATTCTGGTAGTTGTAGTAAATGACGCCATAATGCAAATCGCCTATTGAATTAAATCTTGATGCAAAAATAAGCTATTTTGATGTAGTACTCAGTGCCCTGCTCGTTTAGAACATGGCGAATTCAATGGGCTAACATTGCAAAAATAGTGAAGACCTTTGGGGAAGAGAGATGGGTAGGGATATTACCTCTTAGTCTTAGCCCGTCAAGTTGAAAAGTTCAGTGGGCGCATATATTTTTATGTGGACTCTGACCTCTTAGTTGATCACTGAATGATACTTACGTGGTAACGCGTTATCAACTCCAGGAAAAGAATTAAGATACATGGACGAGTCGCCAGCATGGCTTAGGTAAGTGTCAACTTGGTTGCTCATTTGTTCATCTAAAATTAAATATTCGAAACAAATAATGTCATTCTCTTGTGGTATATATATATATATATATTGCTATAATTAGCACTGATATACTCTAGAGGCAAGGTCCATTTAGCATCAGTTTTAGCGGAGCCCCGCCTTAAGGCTATCTGCTTAATACRGTCATGATCCCGTAATGATACACTTCAGTTTAGGTCAAGGCGAATTAAGCACCCATAATTTTCTAAGCTGTAAATGCGRTCAGAGTTTTTTCAGTATTCCTTCCGTGGCCGTGGCCGTTTGCCGCGACTGATAGCAAGACGGTGCACTAAATGCGGCAATTTATACAATCTTAAATGATTTGTTCAAAATAGTCATTTACTCTAGCTAAGATCACATAAAAAGTAAAGCCAACTTTACCCTTATCGTGCCGACAGTAAGCATTAACAATTCTGTCGCTGACAAGACTTGACGTGTCCGCCCCTAATTTRTACACAAATTGTGGTGAACTGGATATCACATCTAACTGACTTTTCTCGTAACTATCGCCCAAACCAATTCCATAAACGTCGATTCCAGACTTCTTCAATCTAGTGGAAGGTACGACGATGTCATCTTTGGATTTTCCTCCAGTAACAAACACAACAACTTTTTTGGCRTTTGGTCGTGCTTTTTTTAACAATCCTTCTGCAAGTTTTATTGCATTTCCGGCATTGACATCTRTATGGACTTGCTTTTCTGTGTACTTAAAAGAGTCTAGCTCTTTTATGGMATCAATGACATTTTGGTTTTGGCTAAAACCAATAACATTCTTTGCTCTTTTGGAAAATAGAACCACTCCAAAATGCACATCAGTTTGGCGATGATCTAACTCTTCTAGGATTCTTTTTGCGACAAACTTGCAAGGATGAAACAGTGGCTKSCCACATCCACCCAGGATAAATGCTATGTCAATCTTCGGGTAGCAAGACCCTAACAATCAATATTATTATCAGTTGCTATATATTTTTAYATTGTACATGCTTCGTAATGACATAAAGAGACACGCAAGAAGAAACTGATCCACTTCTGTTAGGTTATTACCATATATGGTGCCATTTGCACTTATAATTTTCGACACAAGCGAAAGCAATTATAGTACATAAGACAAATTATTTTCCTATGCTACTGATTGTATTTTCAACCATTATTGTATACCTTCAGGTACATTCATGCTCTTACCATGTCCAGGCAAAACACYTTTGCGTTTCCTGGCCAGTAGTGGAAGAAAATCCTTTCTTTTCAATTGTTTATCAAAAGTATTTTTGAAACGGTTCTTTGYTTTATGAAGTATGTTCTCTAAAGTAAGTTTTCGTCTCCATTGGTTTGGCAAAGGATAGATACTTCTTTGATTATTTTTCTTGGAATTGGTGATCTGCTCTAGAGATATATTCCTTGAATTATTATCTGTTGTTTTTATAAGGTTTAAAGGGTCTATATAATATTTTTATAAGTCAAGGGGGGCGGTACAATAGAATAACCAGTTGATTATGAAMTGCATCATCTTGACCTTTTGTCAACGATTCTTTTARCCCATATTGGTTTTCAAGTAGAAAATCTTGACATTTTGATTAAGTACCTGCGAATTTTGTGAGCTTTTCAGGGCTTCTTGACCCATGTCCCCCATCTGCAAGTATCCAGATAATAAGGCAACAAATAAGCTTCATGCCTTTTATCAGAAAATCCTCATTTTATTGTCTTTGATTCTCCTTCTTTGTTAAACCAGAAAAAGTGCTTCGTYTCACCATGTCAGTTTTTTATGGTTGAGCTAGTTCAATAGCATTAATTATACATTCAAAACGTTCAACCGTTAATTCGCCGAGTAGTCACATGTTTATCTTAAGTACAAATAATAATGATTCAAGTATTTACAAATATTTTCTGCGTTTTTTTTTTAGAAAATTAAAAAAAAGAGTGCATGTCACATATATTKTAAGACTTTTTCCCACCGAATAGTTTGAAACCAACCGTATCTATGTACCTGCTGGTCATCGATTGTATTCGTATCATTCGAGTTTAGCAATYACTTTTACACTGTGTTAGCCTCAATTGTATGTAAAATATGCACACATTTAAATAAAACTGAGATTTTCATTGTATTCTATACTCACAAATCTCTTGAAATTGCACGGGTCGTTACTGGGAAAATGGAGGATATTGCATGGACGCTTGGAGATACGGATTTTATCTTCGAGTGTTGAAAAGATGTCCCACGAGTGAGAGTCGCGAATTTCAAGACGAGAAAATGAAATTCGTATCTCCAAGCGAGAGCAAATTGTTTTTCAAGCATAATAGTGCTGTAGAAAGAGTACTGTGATTGGATTATTTGATTTTGTTTGTTCCTTACATCTCGGTTGCTAAGCAATTGTGCTGTAGAAAGAGTATTGTGATTGGCTTATTTGATTTTGTTTGTTCCTAACATCTCGGTTGCTAAGCAATAGTGCTGTAGAAAGAGTATTGTGATTGGCTTATTTGATTTTGTTTGTTCCTAACATCTCGGTTGCTAAGCAATAGTGCTGTAGAAA